TTCACTTCCAATGCTAGAAGACTGTTAGCTGCGTCTTAGATGACCACTTGAAAGCTTTTAAGACCCCAGTCACTACTCGCCAGTGTAGGATGTGGAGCAACACTTTTATGTATTTTGTTGTGCCAATTGAGTCTGGTGTACCCCAGTACTATGGTCCTTAGGTAGTAGATCTATTGGATCTCTCTCCCATAGTGTCTGGTTGTCTGTGAGGGATTACTCTGTGTCTGTCTTCTATTGTTTCTGTAAGGACTGCAGGCATTTTGTATCACTAGTGTCTGTGCAAGATTAGCCTTAGCTGAATCTATCCTTGGTCTAGAGTATACTTCTGTTCACTGACCCCGTCTGGTCATCTCAGGTGTTTATGTGTTTGTCTGTATAGCCTAGTGTTTGGTGTTAATGGCAATGCAGTATTGTGGACACATTGGTTGGTATTAGCATCTCTTGTGTACAAAATATGGTGTCCTTCCATTTCCTAACATTACCATGGTGGTTGTAGATCTTTCCCATATATCCCTCCCCCTACCCATGTTAACATGTAGGCCCCAACCAGCCCAAAATTAATCCCTCCCCTTCCCTCCCCATCCCAGTAACCTACTAGGTGAGTTCCTTTTCCCAAGCAAACTCTTTGTCTTTTTACAGTGATGGGCTCATACAGTACTTGTCCTTCTGTGATTGACTTATTTTACTCAGCATAATGTCCTCCAGGTTCATCCACATTGCGAGATGATTCATATATCCCTCATTGTTCTTTAATGTGGCATAGTATTCCATTGTGTGAATATATCATAATTTGGTTATCCACTCATCCGTTGATGGGCATTTAGGTTGTTTCCATCTCTTTGCTATGGTGAATTGTGCTGTGATGAACATAGGTGTACATATGTCTGTTCATGCACTCTCACCTCTTTAGGATATATTCCTAGTAAAGGAATTGCTGGGTCAAATGGTACTTCTGTTTTCAGTTTTTTAAGGAAACACCATACCGTTTGCCACAATGGTTGTACAATTTTACAATCCCACCAGCAGTGTACAAGAGTTCTAATGTCTCTACACCTCGCCAGCATTTGTGACTTTCTGACCTGCTGAACTTTGCTATTATTGCTGGGGTGAGATGATATCTCACTGTTGTTTTCATTTGCATCTCTCTGGGAGCTCTGGTAGCATAGTGCCTAAGGCACTTGACTGCTAACCAGAAGGCTGGCGGTTCAAATCCACCAGCCACTCCTGGGAAGGAAGGTTGGGCAATCTACTTCTGTAGTGATACTGCCTTGGAAATCCAAGTAGGGATTGCTATGAGTCGAGTCCCACTCGATGGCACATAACAACAACAACAACATGGTGTTTAATAATCATGAGCAATTTCTCATGTGTTTGTTGGCTGCCTGTATATCTTCTTTGGTGAAGTGTCTGTTCAAGTCTTTTGCCCATTTGTGAATTGGGTGAGTTTTTTTTATCATGAATGGTTATTGAATTTTTTCAGATTTTTTTGTACATGCTTTGAGGTGATCATTTGACTTTTCTCCTTTATTATTTTGGTGGATTATAATGATCAATTGTCAAATGTTAAAAATACTTAACATTCCTAGGATAAAATGCATTTGGACATGATGTATGTGTCATGTGTTACTTCATGTATTTTGAAGCTTTGTTATTAACCAAATACATGTTTATAATTGTTGTGTCCTCCAGATATATTAACCCATTTATAATTATGAAATGTTCCTCCTTTCTTCCTCTCTTTTTACCTCTCTCCTTCCCTCCTTCCCTTCCTTCCTTCTTTCCTTCCTCTCTAGTAATACTTCTTGTCTTGAAGTCTATGTGTCTCCATCTTTCTTATGCTTAGCGTTTGCATGTATATCATTTTTTTATTTCTGTCTTTATATTTACACTGTCTTTCTTTCTTATAGATAACATATAGTTGGGGCTTGCCTTTTTAGTACACTCTGTTAATCTCTGCCTTTTAATTGGAGTGTTTAGTCCATTTACATATAATGCAATTTTTTGCATTTAGATCTACTATTTTGTTATTGCTGTCTACTTTTCTATTAAGTTTTTATTCCTCTGTTCCTCCTTTCCTGCTTTCTTTAGGGTTAGTGAATATCTTTTAGCATTCCATTTTAATTCCTCTATTAGCTTTTTAACATACATCTTTGCATTGTGCCCCCACCCTAGTAGTTTCTCTAGGGATTACTATATTCATCCTTAACTTATCACAATTTACTTAGAGTTATATTGTAACACTTAATGTAAAATATAGGAAATTTGTGACAGTATAGCTCCATATGGAACTGGTGGTATAGTGGTTAAAGCACTTGACTGCTAACCAAAATGTTGGTTTGAACCTACCAGCTGCTGTGTGGAAGAAAGATGAAATAGTCTGTTTCTGTAAAGATGGTAGCCTTGGAAACCCTATAGAGCCCTTCTATTCTGTTCTGTAGGGTTGCTATGAGTCGGAATTAACTCGACAGCAGTGGGTTTGGATAGTTCCATATGCACCCTCTACTCATCCTCTGGTATTTTTTATTGTAAATATTGCATCTACATATGTTAACACCTAAATTTTGCATTGTAATTTTTTCTTTAACCAATCATAGATCTTTTAAAGAAATTAATAGAAAGAAAACATATCTATATAGTCTTTTATATTTACCCTCATATTTACGATTTTCAGTGCTCTTTATTCCTTCTTTTAGAACTGAATTACTGCTTTGTGTCATTTCTCTTCAGCTTGAAGAATTTCCTTTTCCATTTCTTGTAGTACAGGTCTGTTGGCAACAAATTCTTTCAGTTTTTTATTTATTTGAAAATTATGAGGTCTTTCAGTAATTCTCTATTTAGTATAATTTACAGTCTTCTGCCACCTAACATGGGAGCTCTGGTGGTGTAATGCCTAAGGCATTTGACTGCTAACCAGAAGGCTGGCAGTTCAAACCCACCAGCCACTCCTCGGAAGGATGGTTGGGCAATCTATTTCCATAGCGATACCATCTCAGAAACCCAAGGAGGGGTCACTGTAAGTCAGATTCGATTCTACGGCAGTGGTTATGTATTTTGTGTTGCCACCCCTCACATATCCTGCTTTTTAGAAGTAAGCCTTGATAAGAGCACACTCAGACACACACACACACACACATGCCACAAACACAAATACAGGCACTCACACCACACACACACACAGTCAGATGGACAGAAGCATCCTTTTTGGAATCACTGTTGGGAACAAGACTTGGTTCTCCTGAC